TCGGGGTGATCGAGCGGCAGAGCTGCGAGGGGGTCCGGCCGGGCTGGGGGGGCGGGGGGGCCGCGGAGCCTCGCCGGAGGGGAAGGGGAGCCGGCGGCGGTGCCGGGCCCCGCCGGCGCGTCCCTCCCGTCCCTCTGCCTGCCGCAGGGCTGCCGGATCTACCTGTGCGGCACCAAGAGCGACCTGCTGGAGGAGGACAGGAGGAAGCGAGGGGTTGACTTCCACGACGTGCAGGACTATGCCGACGGTACGGCCGGGCACCGCGCGGTGCTGGCCCTTCCCGGGCTCCTGTGGCACCGAATGGGTGGGGGGCAAGGTGGGCCGCATCCGCGTGTGCCTGGGAGGCCGAGGGGCTCTGCCCTTGCCCTGGCTCGGCAGCAGATCCGGTGACTCCGCGGCTCCCTACGCGGTGAGGCCGCGGCTCTGGCAGGGACCTCCCCAGGCACGGCATGTCCCGAGACGGGGAGGCACGCGGCCAGCTGGGCCGAGGGGACGGGAGCACGGAGCCCTGCCCTGGGCCCCTGCCAGCCCGCTGTCGGCAGCCGTGCCCGAGGGGTGACTCCAGGAGGGGAAACCCGAGCCCGCAGGGTTGCATCCTGCGGCCGCAGGCGCTGACCCGGCCCCTCGTTTCAGAGATCAAGGCAGAGCTCTTCGAGACCTCCAGCAAGACGGGCCAGAGCGTGGGTGAGTAGCCCCCCTCGCTGCCGGCCGTGCCCCGGCCCGAGCAGGGCCAGGGGGGCTCTGCCTGGCGGTGGGGCTGCCCACACCCACCTGCCCGCTCTCCCCCCAGACGAGCTGTTCCAGAAGGTGGCCGAGGACTACGTCCACTTCACCGCCTTCCAGGTGATGACAGGTGAGCGAGCAGGATCCGTCCCTCCCCAAGCACCCTCTCCCGTGCCGGGGGGTGCGGAGGAGGAGCGCTGCGGGGTCTGGCAGGGCCCTTCCTCGCCCCCACCCTCCCTGGGGCCACTACGGCTCCATGCCGGGGGTCGTCCTGCAGGGCTTGGGCCCCGTCGCAGCTCCCCGGTCCCTGCTGAGGCCAGGCTCAGCTCGGCACATCCACCCCGAGCGGGCTGCAGGTGGCCTTTGGCAAACGGGCAGCCAGGAGCCTTGCCTGGCTGCGGGACCGGCTCTCAGCTCCGCACCAGGCCTGTCCGGGCGTGCTCAGCCCGGCTGTGCCTCCAGCCCCGCGCCGTGCCGCGGCCGTGAGCCCTGCCGCTTCGCCGCGGGGACACCAAATCCTTCCCCGAGGGACCTGCCGGGACCCAGTCCTGGCACCAGCGGCTTTTGGGCTCGCCGTGGCGTGGAGGTGCGGACGTGCCGGCAGCCTGCCGCCCCTGCTCTCTTCCAGAGGAGAAAGGCGTCGACCTGGGCCAGAGGAGCGGTGCCTACTTCTACAGCTGCTGCCACCACTGAAACCTCTTGCCGAAAGGGAACCGCTGCTGCTGGCCGGGCAGCCGGCGCACGCCAGCCTCCTCCGTTTTTTTTACCTGCTGTGTTTTAGCTGTACGGGCCCGTCTGTAGCACAGCAGCGGCGCGCGCGGCCCCGTGGACTGCTCTCCTCCCGGCGTGCGGAGCGGCGGAGGGCTGCTGTGCGGTGCCGGGACCCTCCTGCGGCGCCAGGAGCCGCGGGGCCGTCACCCCTGGGGACCCTCTCCCCGCCACCCGGCCTTCGGGGGAGCTGCTTCCCCCAAGTCGCTGCTGTGGCCCAGCAGCGGCCGTTAACTTATTCTCTCGGAGATGCTGCCCGATTCTTTGCAGATTTATTTAAGCATCTTCTCTCGAGGTGTACAATGTAAATAAAACGCATTGTGGTCTGAGCCTGCGACTCTCCCGTCCCTGCCCCGGGCGTCTGGGCACAGCCAAGCTCCCCCCGCGCCCCCCACTCGGCAAGACAAACCACAAGAGGACATCGAGAGTAAAGTTAAACTTTACTTTACAGTAATTTTTCTTCTATATACAAAGAATTACAGTACATGTTCTGGGAGCACCTGGGCAGGGCAACCCTCTTTTCATTATAAGTTTCACATACACAGCCAACAGTCTAAGGGGAGCAAAATGAAAGTAATCAATGGTCCAAGACTCTCCCCTCTCCCTCTTCTAAAAATAATATACATGCTGGAAATATGTAGGTTTCTCTCACCCGCTCTGGCATCCCTGCTTAGAACCAACAGACGAGTCCCGGCCAGGGCCGAGCATCCACACGTCCCCCCCCCGGCGCCCACCCGCAGCCCCGGCACCCCCACTCCCGCCGCCTTTCCCTCC